ATCCTGCCAATCCAGCTGCTGCCCTGGCAGACGAGGTGCCAGACCTGGTTGGTGAAGTTGCAACTGATGACCGCCGTCCTCGACTCTCTTCTCAGCATGGTCAGTAAGGGATTGTTGAGCAGCGGATCAACGCAACCAACCGCTGTTTGGGGGCAAATTGAACGAGCATTAAAGTTCTGTCGATGGCTTAACAATAATTATTCACTATTCAGATAATCAGCGCTAATATTTCTACAATGTTATCAAAACACGACGACCAGTCAATGTTAAAGAACCAAAATTAATTTTAAAATTGCACCGTGCAGCCTGTCATGAATTTGAAAGACATCATCGGACAAATGGAAAGAATTCATTTAGGACCACCACTCTTAATGTTGAATGATGTGGTCAGCTCATTTATGACCAGGATCACTCATTCTAATTAATTAACCTCACAACACATCAAACACAACAACAACTCGGAGACAACATAACGACAAACGAACAATGAGAAAAGCAAGACTCACCTTCATATTTTAGCATGAAACGAACATGACCATTGTTTCTACCATCATCGTCATCGTCATCATCATCGCCATCGTCATCATCATTGTCTTTGCCCTTCTCGCTGTATAAAAACGTGATTTCAACTCTACCGCTCTCTGATTGGTGAATAAGACGCTCACGTGACCTCCCACCACAAATGGTGGATTCTGATTGGTGGCCGACGTCCCTAATTTTTAGGTAGGCATCGCAAATAGTAGATGTTTCGTGTGGTAGATTGGAAGGTAAGTAGTTTGGTTTCAGCTGCTGTTGTTGATGATGTTGTTGTTGATGTTGTGGTAGCTGTAGTTGATGGTGGTGTTGATAGCTGGTCGTGACACCGAAATCGTACAGCGTCAACTGAATTGTGTTAATTTTATTTTAATTTTTTTAAATAATTCTTCATTGCAAAAGTAACAAAGATTGTTATGGTGATTTATACTTCCTATCTTGTCTTTCTTCAACGACTGCTAATGCTTTGGTGTGCGGTGAAATCATTTCGAAATAATGAACAAGTGGCATAGAGAGGTCGACGAAGACAAAAACAGATGAACAGCTGTTTTTATTTTTCTTCCATTAAAAATTTAACCAAATGTAATTTCATTATAAAATGCACGTGTTTGTTACGAACTGTTAAATTATTCACTCATTCATGCTTTCAAAATGGCGTTAAAGTGCAGCTTTTTATCTTAATTAACGCCAAAATATTGCGTGGACAAAATAAAAACGCGGATCGGCTGCAAAAATTAGCCAGCCGCATGGTTGAGGAGTGGCTCTGAGTTGTTGGCTCGTTTGTGCTAACATTTTTTTGCTTATGAGTAGACATGTTAAATCATATGAAGTTTCGTTGAAATAATTGAAATTCATGAATTAATTTAGAAAACAAAACATCGCTTCGATGGTGAGTGAAAAAATTTTTAGACAAAATTTTTATTATATACCGCTCAGCGGTATTTTTTAACATTTGAAATAAATTTAAAAAAAAACGACATTAAATAATTTTTCAAAGCAAAAAATTCAAAATCTACGTTTTTATAATGAAAGCATAATGAAAAAAGTGCCACGTGTGTTTAATTTAAGCTACGGATATTAACATGTGAACCATGTCCCCAACAACAAACCACTTTCATATCGATACAAACCAAAGGCAAACATGAGACCAACCAAAGACGTCATGCCAGCATTGCTGTCCTCATAACTAACACAAATTGCAAGCAAGAGAAGGTAAAATTTGGCATCGCCCTTCATAACCTCACAAATGCATGTCGTGAACAGCAACAGCAACAACATTTTCAAAATCTGCAAAATCACGGCTCTAAAAGTAACACCGGAACAAAACAAACAAAAAAGGACCATGCAACTAATAATCAATTTTGTCACGGATTCCTATCTATCTCATATGTGTACACCGTAATCATTGTGAACAACAACAATGACATTTAAAAACTCGCCACAGTTCCTCAAACAAAAACAACTCATTTTCAACACAAATGAACTCAAAATTTACATGCGTTATTGCGTAAATTTTTTAATTACTGATGAACCCAAAACACAAACAGCATGGAAAACAATTGAAAATATTTTAACAACAACCTCATCAACGACAGTCGATCTAACAACATCAACAACAAAAAAACCACTAAATCAACAACATATACGATAAAAAAAATTCAACACACACACACACACACACACACACACACGCACGCACACACACAAACATACACACAACTCGCACGCATACACACACATAAACACAACACGCACACATACAAGAACTACAACACAACATTTCACAGATACGTGAAAACAGCAACAACAAAATCATCATCAACAACAACAACATCATCAACAACAACAAAACCAACAACATACAGAAACCAAGAAACAAGATTTGCACACTCGGTGTGATTTCGATCATTTCGTATTAAAGAAAATTGAGTTCGAAAATTTAATGAGGTCGATGCCACATGCGATAGCGAGCAACACAGAAGCCTGCATTGCATGAGCTCGCCACTCCATACTACATACTCCACATACTACATAGTTCATACGACATATTACGTACTCCAGTCTCCACATACTCCATACTACATTGTCCTTACTCCATCCTTTTTAATTTATACTTTTTTACTCCATACTTCAAATGGTCTATTTAACCGTAGTAGAACACACTTTTGAACGTCCACACGCACACGCACACGCGGAGGTTTTTACGAAATGAAACAAACAAGTGCTCGTACAAATAAACAACTGAACGAATAAATAGTAAATGCATATTATTAAATGAATATTAATCACCGGGGAAGGTTAATAAATGGATGAATGAACGAATAAAGAAACAATTAAACAGCATGTGCTATTCGCTATATTTATTTATTTACCTATACGAGTAGTTTTTGATAGATGAACTTAACAAATAGACAGGTAAATAGATCTAAATATATGAATGTTTCATGTAAATATTTCCTCCCATGCTAATTTATCAAAATGTTAGTTTATCAGTCTTGGATCTTGATATATTCCATTTTTTTCTCGAAAGTTTTTTTTATTTTACCACAATTATGTCAACTTTATATGTTTGTTCATTCACTTGTTTGTTTGTTTTGGAACCTCGTAATATTTTATTTTTAACGACTTCCAATTGTTTATTTAAAAACTATTAAAAAAATAAAACATTAATTTAATCTCTCAAGTTTAATAAAAAAATATCAAATGTTCTTCAGTTTGTTTTTTTGAAGAAATTTTAGGTGATTTTTCAACGGCTTGCGAGCCATTGCAAACACACTTCAAATTTCTCAAATGAGTGCATTTGATTACTTCGTCATGTCCAGCCAAAGTCTGAAAGTTTTAGGTGTTTTTAAAAATAATTAGAAAAGTGACTAACGATTAAAAAAAATTTCATAAATGTTTATTTCAAATATATGAGAGTTGAGGCTGGTTTGTAAAAAAAAGTCTTTTTGTACTTTTAAATGCTTTTGTAAACTTTCCAAGCAGAAAACGTCGGTGGAATTTTTTAATGGATGTTAGAAATTAAATTTTTTTTACAAATTTAAAAAAATGTGGACATGTTAGTTTGTTTGTAAATACAATATTAAAAATATGCTTTTGATGAATGAAAATTTTGAAATAATTTATAAATTACTTAATTTACCCAAGTATTGTTGTCATCTAAAGTAAATCCTTATTTTGAAACCTTACTGCAAAACAACTTGGTTATTTCCATATATATATATATATATATATATTTATATATATATATATATATATGGTTATATATATATATATATTTGGTTATTTCCATATATATATATATATATATATATATATATATAGACCATAATTTTTACAATATTCTATAAATTTTACCGAATGTTTGGCGTTAATATATTAATCTTCTATAAATAATATAATATATTAACGCCAAACATTCGGTAGAATTTATAGAATATTGTAATATATATATATATATATATATATATATATATATATATATAAACCAGAAGACATCAATAACTATAGACCCATTTCTCTTCTCTCTCCACTATCCAAACTTCTTGAAAAATTAGTTTATACTAGGTTGTTCTCCTTTTTTGATGCCAACAAAATTTTTTGCAATAATCAATACGGTTTCAGGCCAAACCACTCCACAGAGCTTGCTACTCTTGATTTCATACATCACATTTTATCCAGGTTGAATGACAAAAAGCTTTCAGTTGGATTATTTTTAGACCTTTCCAAAGCATTTGATGTAATCAATCATAACATCTTACTAAACAAACTAAAACTTTATGGTGTCAGAAACGTAGCCAACGATTGGATTAAGAGTTATCTCTCATCACGTAAACAATACGTCTCCGTTGAAAACCACCAATCTACTACGGCCTTCATCCTAAACGGCGTACCTCAAGGCTCAATCTTAGGCCCTCTACTTTTTCTAATCTATAAAAACGGTATCCAAAATGTATCTACCGATATTAAATGTTTGCTTTATGCTAACGATACCAACCTCCTATTTACTCCTGATAACATCTCAAACTGCTCTGACTCAATTAACCAAGTGCTCTCTAAATATTCTGGTTAGTTCTCTGCTAATAAATTCATAATAAACTACTCTAAGTGTTCTTATATCATCTTTGGCCCAAAAATCTTATCAAATTTGTCTCCAAACCTAAACCTTAATATCAACAATATCTCAATAAGTCGTGCATCTTCTTCTAAATTTTTAGGTATAACCATTTCTGAAAATCTTTCTCGGGAATCTCATCTACAATCTATCTCCTCTAAAATTAACAAACTCATAGGTCTTTTCTACAAAATCAAGCACAAATAAATCAAATCCGCCTTAAAAAAACTCTACTATGCTTTTATTTATCCTCATTTCACTTACTGCATAACCATTTGGGGTAACTCACCAAAAACCCATCTTCATTGTATGATATTGTCACAAAAAAGAGCTATACGCTTAATCTTCAACTTGAACCCTTTCTCTCTCACTTGCTCTTTTTTTATTAAACATAATATTTTGTCGATTAATACATTTATTTCACAGCTATTTTTGTTTTCAAATTCTTAAATAATTTACTTCCCTCATTTTTTTCTAACTTTTTTACACTCAGTGAATCTGTTCAAACTCTCAAAACTACTATCAACTCAGTAAAAACTTGCCTTAAACTCATCTCTACAAGTTTAAAAACAACTGGCCCTAAAATTTGGAAATTATTTGTGCCTCATGCCATTCATAACATAACAAACAAGCAACTCTTCAAAAAAAGGTTGCGATCTCAGCTTTACTTACTTTACCCCGAAACCACCATCTAACGATTTATATACATTAATATATAGCTGTTGTTTAAATATAAATGGATGTGTGGGTGTGTGTTGTGCGTGCGTGTGTGTGGTGCGTGTGTGTTTTTGTCTGTCCATTATTATTATGATTATTTGACTGGTTCAGAAGTATTATCTGAATGTATTTCATTCGAGTTAACATTTTTATAAAATTTCGATATAGTATTTGAATGCATTTAAACGCTGAAATTGAGTTTCTTAATTTTCTAACCTTTGAACCTTTATGTTTATTAATGACTTAGTTAAGGGTGGCCTCTCCACAAGTTTATTTTAAACTTTTTTGGTTCTCTATAATGAAAATAAAAATAAATAAAAAAAAACAAAATATATATATATATATATATATATATATACAGAATAATATAACAAAATTTAATCATGACACATTTTTGCTCTTTCTTTGCACAATCACAAACAGATCTGTTGAAAATGTTGGCATCGTTGTTGAAACACTGTCACATTTCTTCAGCTGTCTAACTATAATACATCGCTTGTAACTTTTCTCCTACAAGCAGACTACATTGAAAATATTACCTTGTCTTCGTACAAACATGCCCGATACTTGAGATTTGTTTGCCATGCTGACTGTTGCAACAGTTTATTCCAGACGTCAAAGTTTGTGAGACCTCATGCACATCTGGAAAGTCAGTGATCAGTCTGTGATGGAAGTCTAACTTCAACTTATAATCCTGTTCAACTTTTGACTGTTTATGTTTTAGTGCGACAAACATTTCACCAAAATATTGTAGTTATATAAGAATACAAATTTCTTGGCAATTCGTTGTAAAACATTTTGTCGCGGATTCCTTCTTTGACTGCATCAAACTCAACGAGTCCTGAAAACTAACCGAGATAATTTTTTGTTAGTTTTACCAATCAAAATAAAATAATAATAGTTTTCAACTAAGAATGATTGCAACATGAAAAAGTAAGCTGTAGATGTTTCACATTTTCGTGCCGTTTAAAAGAAATTTTTGT